CTGTAGGTTTTAAGGGARTTTAGGATGAACCCATAGGAGATCAGGAGAAGGATAAAAATGACCATACAGATTGCTCCACCATTGGCAACCACAGTGAGGCCTATAAAGTAGGTGTCAGTGCATGCAAGTTCCAATAATGGGTACATGTCACAGATGAAGTGGTCAATGACATTGGGACCACAGAAGGGGAGACGGGAAACAAAGACAAGCTGAACCACAGAGTGTACAAAACCTCCCACCCAGGCCACCACCAAGAGGAGGATGCAAACCCTTCGATTCATGATGCTCAAGTAGTGCAGTGGCTTACAGATGGCCACATAGCGATCATAGGCCATGACCACCAGAAGGAAGACCTCGGCACCCCCAAATAGGTGTTCTATGAAGAGCTGGCCCATGCATGCTGGGAAGGAAATTGTCTTTTTATCATACAGTAAGTCCATAATCATCTTGGGTGAGACAGCAGTGGAGTAGACAGCATCCATGAGTGACAGATAGGCAAGGAAGATATACATTGGGGAGTCCAAAGAGGGGCTGGCAATGACAGTCACCACAATGAGMAGGTTGCCCACCATTGTCACAATGTAGATGAGTAAAAACATGGTGAATAATGCATTTTGTCCATCAGGATCCTGGGTGAGGCCCAGGAGGACAAATTCTGTGATGTTATTACTCTGTCCCATTTACTCTTTTACTCTTAGGCTTGCTTCAGAGATGAGAGTTCAGGAGAATAGACACTGCCATGAAATTGTGAACAGGTCGATAAATCCGCCATGTCATGGAGCACAACTTCATCTACCTTCTATAGTGGTGAAAATACAATAAACATCTAGTAAGTATCTGTTGAGGTTCTCTTCCAAGGAACCCAGTAGATTTTCTGTAGACAATTCTATTCCTCCCAATAATTTTTCTTGGGGCCTAAAGTTTAGTGGTTCTTTCTCTAAACCTTTGCTGATATTCCATAGAGGAGAGTAGTCAAAAGCCCAACAGTCATTCACATATTTAAAAATGTATATTGAAAATATGTTCCTTCTTGTCACAGAGGTCAACAATCATGAATAGGGAAAGGTTTTTTGCTTTCAAATACCTATTCACTATTAGTAACAATAAATTCTAAAAATATGAAGTGATGTAAAGTCAGTCCTTTGAGTTGGTAGTATCTTAGGGGAATCACTTTACAATATTTTCATAGCAATATTTACATAGCATCAGAATTAACACTTCTTCTGAACTATMTGACTCAATACAATTGCATTTGTGATTAATTAGATGATCAGTCTTTCATGTCTCAAAGGACGTTTACTCTTCGGAAATCTCTCATTAAGTTTCAAAATACTGGACTTTAAAGTGTATCAAATAGCTACATGAGTAGTTAACTCATTGCTTATTATGGCATTTATTTCATCTACTCTGTCATCCATTTCAGAAGCTATAATTCTGCCAATTTCATCTTTGCATCTATCAAAATTCTTAATGCATTCCCATTCATCATCCTGAATTTCACCATTTTTTTAAACTAAACTGATCAAATGACTCTTATCAATTACTACATGAGGTGCTAGTATTTTATTTTCAGAAATCTTAGAGTAACATGGGCAGTAAAGGAAGAGGAAATAGTAACTGAAAATAGAGGAAGTGAATAGCRGGGCAAGGCCGTATATGCAAAGATTTTTAGGAACTGATAATGCTCAAAAATAGAATTTTAGTATACATACACTGAGAAGCAGCATACTCAAGTGGAAAGAACATACTCAATGGGAGAGGGAATGAGTTTCAGTTATGTTCTAAATGCAATTATAAATATGTCTCAACTTACACATTGTAAAATATAGAAATTGACCTAGATGATCCCAGAATCCTTTCCAGTCCAACTACTTCCAACATTATTAGTACAGCACAAATTTGTTATTTTCTGCTGACATTTGTTTTTTGTATTTTATAATTAAATAGCAATTTCCAAGCTTATGATTGTTGCTTGAAAAATGTCAGCCAGTAGTTATGGGGTATGATAACTATAGTGACCAAATAATAATTCTGAGTTTCTCACTGTGCACAAGATAGGACCCAAGACTTGCTTGGTGAGAAAACAAAGCACCATGAAGAATACCACTAACTTTGGAGATGCATTGGTTGCACTATAATTCCTGTTTTATTCACTTATGTCCATGTGACCATGGGCAGATGAATAAACCTCCCTGTGTCTCCACTGCATCAGTTTTATCATGGGGTTTCCCTTGGCAACTACCTCTTTATTATATGTTGAGTCCTTAGAGTGCTGTTGGACATGTGGTTAAAATCTAAATAAAGACACCATTATTAACTTTTTGAATSTTTCACTGTGAACATTGGATCAGAATAAATCATCAGGATCTCAGTCAACTTAATAGGTACAATCTAGGATATAAAGAATTATATTTCTATGATCCATGAACACCTTTTTGGACATGGGATAAAGAATATATGTTAAGAAATATCATATATATGTGTGTGTGTGTATATACATATATATGTATATATATGCAAAAGTGATATTTACCTATGAATAAACATATTTAAACTAGAAGCAAACAAGAGAATTCTGTTCACATGGACTTGGTACTGGAAAAGGACATGTGCAGAAAGAGTTTTCTTTAGAAGCCAGCTCTGATGAGCATCCTACACATCTTGGTCACATTATTGCTTTCATCTGATCCAAGAGCTGTCATTCATGTGCCTATCTATTAAGTACTGCTGGGACTTAATCTCATAAAATATCTGATACTAGAGATTTCTTACTATTAGAGGCAAACCTCTAATAAGGCAGACCTGTTGAAAAACTTAAGGTTACAGTGTAATCCATGACCAAATCTCTTGTTTTCACATCTTACTTTCTGTGATGTTAATCTCCTTAATCATCAATGCTGGATTTCGCTAGAATAAATATTCTACAGAAAATTATTTACATAAGATACATAAAATATGCTTTGTAGTTTAACTCTCAAAAATTTGATACTATTAATGCTAAAAGATAGCATTATTAGGTTTCCAACTTAATACTAAGTTAATATTTTTCTAGAAAAATGTGACATAAGTCCTTACAAACACATTTTTAAAAACCCCAAAAAACATAATAGGAAAATAATATATATATAGTTCATTGAAACAGTTTTATAATTTTTTTAAATCTCTCTAGGTTACAGTAGATTAGGTATTTCCCTGAGAATGGGTTTCTCTATGTATATGTACCAACAGGTTTGCCAAGAAAAATTTAAGATTCACATATAAAAGATCATATAATCTTCTAGAACATAATTGAAACTTGTTCCTTTACATTATAACATACTTGTAATTTTAAATTTTAAATTCAAATGTATCTAAAAGCAATTATACTTCTGTTAACATAGTATGCAGAATAAAATATTTCATAAACAAAGGTAATAAATCCATTGGTTTATTTATTAGACGATTAACAGGCATTATTATTTGGAAAAAGGAAAAATAATGGACCTAGAAAAACCAATACTAAAAAATATATACTTTGTATGTTCAAATTAATTTCTGTGTTTGGCTAGCTTCATTCATTCAACTCAGATACCTTAAACGAGAATTTATAACATTTAAGACATTAGTTGTATTTCAGTATATCACAGGAACTTTCATTGTCAGTTGTTTTATGAACTCACCTTTTGGGACTTGTCCTTGGTCCAGAAAAATGAATGCTGTTTTCACTGAGAGTGATTGTAGATATCAAGTTACTATGTGTGATCATGGAACCTATACTAACATATGACTGATGAGTGAATCTAGAAATATTTACAAGTGGTTATAGATTTACAAGTGGTTATATCTCTACATTGACTTCTCATTATCTCAGACTTAGAGAGAAGTATAAAAATGTCCAAAGTATTTGCCTAAGGTATTAGGACATTCAAAAGTCACTTACTAGAGAGGTAAGGGATGGGCAATAGGGAGAGGGACATTATCTAAGCATGTTATGTGTATGTACAAATAAGTCATAAATTAACTCAATATTCCATATAGTTAACATGAACCAATAAAAATGAATGCATGGGTCTCTTCAAAAACATTTACTGAATAAAGGGAGCTGGATTTTCTTACTTGCTGGTAAAATTTCTCTGTGGAAAAACAAAGCTTCTATGTTTGCACGAAAATTGAGCTGGTTAGTATAAATTAACTTGGCCAAGCCCATTCCTTAGAAGAACAAATAAGAGAATGAAACATTTAACAATACTAAAATTAGKTATGTGATTTTTCTCTTCTCAGTCAATTATGGTGAAGCAAACAAAACGGACTTGACTTTGAGGATTCAGGGTCATTCATGTACCTACGTATTAAATACTGCAGCTAACAAGACAAAGGCTGGGACTTAATCTCATGAAATAGCTGATAATGGAGATTTCTTACAGTTAGAAACAAATCTCTTCAATCTTGCAGTCACTCAAACAGCAGCTGTCAAAGTCCCCTTTCTTTCTAATTAAAAACATGTCTCTGTATTTCTATAATCTTATCCAAGGGGAAAGAGTTTGCCCACCAACAGCAATGAAGAGAACAAAAACAATTTGTCACCTGAAGACCCAGACAGCAGCTGAAGACATACTTGGGTAGAACCTGAGTTTCAGAAATCAATCTTTCCACTTAGGTTTGCAAACATAGTCTATGAATGTTTACAGAGTTGCCGCTTTACATAGATTAGTTCATTAGCATATTTGGAACAAATTCAAAAGAGGTAATCTCTCCTGAACAGGTTTCTTCCCTTGAACAATCCCTAGAGGAAGAAGACTTGGGTCTTGCCAAGAAAGAGTAGCTGACTGTCAATGATGTGAAAAACACCTCAGGCGAAAAGAAAAATTCCAGAGTGTAATGATTAATAAACTATGATTTCCAGATTATGAAACAATTAGGTAAATCAAGTGACACTTAATCAAGCTTAAGGAGGATACAGTCCCAGTTCCCTCACCCAGTCACACCTCAGCAAAGGAAAGCCTCACTGAGTTTCTGCCCCAGAGGCACTGAGGATCAGAGGCAGGGAGCTTGGAACTGGAGGGTCTGTTGAGGTCAATAAGTTCTAATTTTTGAAAATAAAGGCCATCATTTCTCTGCACTTTAGATTGGAATGAAGGCTTTTGATCAATTCTAAATCTGTGTACAGGCTATACAGAGAGTTTTGACTGCTCTGCATTCACCTGATGACTTCCACCATGAAGTTTCTGATGAGGTAGCAAGGCAAAAAAAGTTAAATCTTTCTTCCTTCTTCTTAGGATTTATTAACATATTATATCCCTGAGGTAATTGCTGTCTCATTGATGGGTCATCTGATTTATCTAAAAGAACCTTCAACTGCACATCAATACCCACATTTTTCAAAAATATTACTTGTTCTATTGGACCCAAAGTCGCTTCTATTCCTTATGCCATTCTGCCCCAATAATGGAACTCCACATCAGCTGTAAGGTGTGCTGTTCCAGGGACAGTTAAGACATCATGAAGCTTGTGGCCACAAAATCCTCTGAAGGTGTGTCTTCATTCCATCATGACCATCATCAGCAGTCAGTATAGCACCTCCAGTTAGTGCAATGTATTGAAAAGTTCCTGAATAATAACCCCAGCATCAGGACATACTTCAGCACGATCCCTTGTTTCATCATGAAGGCTTCTGCAGGGGTAGTACAAGGAGCCAAAACAA